TCCTGTAAAAACTTACAGTCTCATAAACGTTATGCTTTGGAACTGATTTAGTAACATACAACAACACAATACTAATGAGACAGAATTGCTACTGCTATTGTTTAGTGCCATCAAGTCAGTTCCGACTCATAACGACCCTGATAGGGTTTCCGAGAAGCAGCTGGTGGGTTTGAACTGCCAACCTTGTGCTGATCCTACAACGCCACACCAGGAGACAAGATTATTGGCAATTATATTAATAAGGCAGGATACAATCTACAGGAATAGTTTGTATCTTGAGTTAACCCTTTTTGAGCTATCAAAGAGATTATCAGATGAGCAGGGATCAGAGGGACTTCAGTACCACCAAGAAAGAATCAGGAATGAACCGCATCATCTAGACCTAGGGTCCCTACACTGAGAAGCTCCTAGGTGCCGGGGTAGTCTGAACACATGAAACTCTCCAAGAACACTGGGCCCATTAATGTTAAAAGGAGACATAGACCTGGCTGAGGCAACAGAGAAAGCCTTCTCTTAGAGTTGGTGCCCTGAATTTGTCTCATGAACTATGAGAGAATAAATTTCTGTTAAAGCCATCCACTTGTGGTATTTCTCTAATAGCAGCACAAGATAATGAGGACTAATATAATACATTAAACATAATTAAAGAGCTAAGAGAAAAATAAAGAAAAAACAATGCAAGAACAAAAAAAAAATCTAAAAAATGAGGTATTGCAATTGAAAAGGGACAATAATTGAAATCAGAAACTCAACAGAAGAACTTACCAACAGATTTAATTAAGCAGAAGAAAGAATAAGCAAATTAGGAGATAAGAAGTTAAAATTATAGCTGCTGAAGAGCAACAAGAACAGAGGCTCAAGAAAACAGAGCACAATTTAACTTTAAAATTAAAGCTACAGAAATAAAAATTGCCTCGTGCTGATATAACAATAGACACAAAAACCAATGGAATAGATAGAATTGAGAGTCCAGAAATAAGCCTACACATCTGTGGTCAAGGGTGCTGAGTCCATTAAGCGGGGAAACACAAGGTTCTGCAATAAATGCTGCTGGGAAAACTGGATTTCCATATGCAGAAAACTAAAACAGGATCCTGGCCTCATCTCACAAACAACAAATATAAAGTCTATTTAGGACCTAAAACTGTGAATTAAAACGATAAAATTCTTATGAGAACAAGCAGGGGCAATACTATCAGGCTTAGTTTTATCAATGGATAATCTAATATAGTAACAAACAGTAAAAGACAGCATAAAGTAATGAGAACTATAAAAATTAAAAACTTTTTGTTCATCCTAAAAGGGAAGACACAGTTACTAACTGAGAGAAAAGCTTTGGAAATCATGCTAGTGTGGCATTGTAGAATAAACACTGGGCAGAAAGGTCGTTTGACTAGCAAGATTGGTGGTTCAAACTCACCAGCAGCATTTTGGAAACCCTATACAGGGTTGCTATGAGTCAGAACTGAACTACAACAATGACAACAAGAATCTAACAACGAAAATAAAAATTTTTTTTATTCACAGCATAACAGAAAAAGGGACAACTAACCCAATCATAAAATGATAAAAAGACTTGAATATACATTTCACCAAAGAGGATATTCAAACCCTCCTTTTAAAAATGCTCAGCATTAGCCATCCGAGAGATGCAAATCAAAACTACAATGAGATAACAATTCACTCTCACTAGGAAAGCTAAATGTAATTCTGGTGTGGTGTTGTACGAATAGCACTGGACCGCAAGGTTGGTTTGAACTACAAGGTTGGTGGTTCAAATCCACAAGCCACTCTTCAGAAACCCTATACAATGACAGTATGAGTCAGAACCAACTCAATGGCACTTAACAAGGATGCCAAAGATAAAAAAGAATATAGTGTTAGTGGTGATGATTGGCAATCAGAACATGTGAGTCTTGTTGGCAGAAATGCACACTGGCCAACTGCTATACACAACAGTGTGGTGGTTCCTCAAAAACTAAAATGTAACTTCCATATAACTCAGCAATTCCACTCATGCCCAAAAGTCCTGAAAACAGTGATTCAAACATTGTCCATTGCAGCTCTGTTCACACAACAACCAGAAGGTGGACAAAAACTAACTGTCCATCAACTAATCAAAGGATAAATGAAAGGAATGTGTTGTTATTGTTGTTATGTGCTGTGGAGTCAGTACCGACTCATAGTGACCCTGTACAGGGTTTCTGAGGCTGTAAATCTTTACGGGAGCAGAAAGCCTCATCTCTCTCCTGCGGAAGAGCTGGTAGTTTCGAACTGCTGACCTTAAGGTTTGCAGCCCGATTCATAACCACTACGCAACACACAATGCAATACTGCTAAGGTAGTATGAGAAATGAAGTCTTGATACATGCGACAGTCTAGTTGGAGCTTGAACCTATTATGGTGAGCAAGACAAACCAACCACAGAACGATGAACACTGTATGTGACCTCACTTATATTTTTAAAACAAGGCGAAAAGGCAAAATTATAGTGACCAAAGTTTGTAAGTGATTATCAGTAGGCAGTAGCAAAAGGGGAAAGGAGATTTAAATGGTGATGGAAAAATCACAATGATTAAGGGTGGTGGTGGTGGTGGTTATGTGCCGTGGAGTCAGTTCCGAATCATAGCGACCCTGTACAGGGTTTCCAAGGCTGTAAATCTTTACGGAAGCAGAAAGCCTCATCTCTCTCCCACGGAACAGCTGGTAGTTTCGAACTGTCCACAACCAATTATTGTAACTGCTGTCAACAAATTGTGTACCTATAAAAAATTAACCTTGCAAAAAGCTACATTATAGCTATATTTAGAACAATGACAAAAAGATAAAGTTTAGCTGCTGAGGCTGCTTATCTGTAACCAAACACATCGGCATTTAGTTCTTGGCGTGCAGATTCAGGGTCATGGTTTCTTAGGACATCCTAGGTAATTGTTTAGTGCTTCTGTTCTACCCCAAAGCACAACAATTGGTCTCCATTCCCAAGGAGCAGCAGAAGGAGTCAGGATATAGAATGTGTGGCTAATTGCCTCCAGGAACAACTCTCTCCTTTGCCGTGAAACCTCAAGGACTGGATGAAGCCTAGCTACATGACTGAACATTTGTATCAGAGTCTATACAGAAATCCTGACTCAAAGGGGGAAAATGCAGAACAGAATGTCAAATTTTCACGGACTGTAGACTTTCTGGCACCATGTAGAATCAATGAACCCTTAAAATTATCTGAAATAACAATTAAACCTTAAAGCAAAAATATTCCCTAAGGTCACCTGAAAACTATAGTTTACACTAACTAGTACAAAGGGTCTTCCTTGAGCATATGCTTTTTAAAGAACTGTTGATATGAGACCAAGTAGTCCTGGTGTGGCACTGTAGGATAAACACTGGACCCGCAAGGTTGGTTTGAACTGTAAGGTTGGTGGTTCAAGCCCACCAGCTGCTCCTCAGAAACTCTATACAGTGTATCAGTCAGAACAGACACTACGGCACTTCAGCACAGCAACAGTATGAGATCAAATGGACAGCAGCAACTCAAAAGGTTAGCAAGCAGTGAGCTTATATTATTCCAGAAAAGGTAGGTGAGAAGGTAATCAATGTCATGAAATTGTACATGTAGAAACTGTTTTCTCTGTATATTTTCAACAACAACAACAAAACAAATTTTAGAGGGAAAAATCGCTTACGATTGATAAGTAATATCCAGAATAGGCTAATCTATACAGGAAAAAAGTAGATCAGTCATTACCTAGGGCTGGGGACTTTGAGGGGAAATGAATTACTTATGATAGGTACATGGTTTCTTTTGGCGGGGGGCAGTGAAATGTTCTAAAATTACATTGTGGTTACACAACTCTGAATATATTAAAAATTGGTCAATGGTTAAAATGGGTAAATCTTGTAGTATATGAATTCTATCTGAATAAAGCAATTAAAACAAAACAAAAACTCAGAATCACTAAAGATCCTGATCAAAATGATAACAGAGAAGAGGCTGCCTTCCTTAAGCTGAGACTACACAGCCAGACTACACCAGAGTCCCAAACCCACTCCTGGGAATCGTCAAAGTACAAACCAAACAGACCTGCAACTTGGGTGTTTCAAATTACACTTGAACAAAATTCCAAGTGACCAAAGAAAATAAGGAAGCTCAAATGCTATTCCACATTTATGTGATTTAAGTGGGGTCTTAGTCCATAATAAACTTACAATGTCCTGCAAAGACATGTGTGTAACTCAACAAAAAGTAACAATGCAACAGTATAGCAGGGGGTACCTGAGTTAAAACAGAAGTCGAGAGAAACAAAGAGGTCCAGGCACACCTCTGGAGATGTGGATGCAGTCTTTCTGGAACGGGATCTAAAAGTTAGGTGCTTAACATTCCCCCTGGGTGGTTCTAATGTACACCACTGGGCTGGTAACCACTGGGTTAGTCCAAGGATGTCCAGAAATATCCACTACTGTTGCTCATGTGATCTGTCTAATCAATGTAGGAGTCAGGACCAGAACACTTGTCTCATTACTGCCTCACCTGTTGTGTGGGTGAGGGTGTGTGAGAGCTCAGGGTATCCAGGCTTCAACACAGTGCTCAGACCCCTTAAGAAACTCTAAAGCACAAATGCTTGGACTGTTGTGGGGAAAACAGTAATCCTGAGACAACGTTTAGAGGACTTCTAAATATGCAGGGTTTCACTCTCCCACCATAAGACCCTCAGTGGGACTCTATCCCCAGTAAATGGATTTAATTGGCAAGTAGGGAAGATTTTTTTTTTTTATTTTTTATTTCAGCTCTGAGCTGAAATGTTTTTTTTTTTTTTACCCACGGAGCAGAGAGTTGTAAAACAAACATCAAGGCGTCCAAAAGCTGATGCTGCACACAGAACCTGAGCTGTCCTCAGAAAAGAGAGCAGGCAATGTTTACAGACCACGTAGGGAGATGCCTGGCTAAGGCCCTGGCTACTGGGCGTTGAGTCGTTCGTTCCTTTACCAAGCAGCGTGCTTCTTACCTATAATTCCACTGTCCTTGCTTTCCAGAGTGGAACTAGGGCTGCTAATGGTCTCACAGGGACTTTTGTTGGCTGCCGTCTTGCTGACACAGCTATTCAGGGTTGAGCAGGGGCTCTCGGTGCTAGGAGATGCGGTACTGCTTGTTAGTGTGGAGCAAGGACTGATGCCTTGGCTAGGAGCTGGGCACTGCAAGATGAACGGAACGAGGAGTTAGCATGGCTTACACAGGACGCTTCCTTTGACACAGTCTTTTTACATGTGACATCAAAACAATGACCCCAAACAAAGGAAACTATCAGAGAGTCTTTCAAATCTAGTGAGTTCAAATATACATATGGTCTTCCAAACTTTCAAAGAGAGAAATAGCTTTGTTCTTTTGCTTCTCCCTTTGTGAGTTTTTTTTTTTTTTTTTTACTGACAGGGCAGCAGTCGGTGGAATAATTTAGTGGAAATGCACATTTGTAAACCAGAAATGGCATATGGGCAGACTTCCTTTCATTTAAAAGTTTACAGAAGGTGAATGGGCTTTGTGACCTCTGGACGGAAAACGTGGGAACTCTGTTTTGGTGAGGTGTCACAAGCACTGTAACTTGATTCTGTTCCTGAAGATTTATTGGCTCTGCAGTCAGGGGAAGAAACTGGTGGCCACTGGAAGAGGCCCTGAAGCTGGGAGGCTCAGCCCCTCATTGCTATTCAAATTAATACACCTGTGAAGAGGAAGTGATGGGCTGAGCTACTGTGCCCCTATCAGGAGAATGCTCTTTCCAGTCCTTTGATCATCATTGCCTCATTGCCTATAAATCTTTCCTCACCCCACTGACCCTCCAAAATCGTTAACAGCTAAAAAAGCACAGGAAATCACATACCAAAGCAGCCAGATGAAAAGAATGGCACTATAAAGATAAAAGTAGCATCATTATTATGGAATTCTTCTAGCTGCTTTAATTCATTTAGTTACTCATCTCTCAGTAGTGATTAGGTGATGACAAGGTTAACGTGGACATTGCTTATCCCCACCTCCCCAGTGCAAAACTCCAGAAACAAACTGGTGAAATAAATTTCACTATGCACTAAAGCCCAGAACTCCTTTGACCCAACAATGACTTCACCACTCAAGGAGGGTTACAAAGAGAGTTAGCTCTCTGGGCATGGATGAAATGCAGTCTCTCCCTCAGACATTACCATGGTTTCATTTTTTTCTTCAATGGTTATATGTGTGGCACTCGGGATCCCTTCTCCCAGTAAAAATCCCAGCCTTGTCAACAGTTCTTGAGCTGCCGGTGAACAGCTGGGTTCATTACTGGCCTTTGTTTCTGGAACAAAGAAAAAAAACAAAACAAAAACAATGAAGGTGGTCCTTGGGTGGGGGTGGGTCGTGGGGATGGGGAGTTCAGTATTGCATCTGGATGAGTTGGCACTACAGCTGCTTGTCTGGTGCTTTTTGTATTTTTTATAAAATGTACAACATTTGACAATGCTACCTGACCTCTAGAAGTACATTCTAATTAAAGAGGCTGTGTCAGGTGAAGAAAACAATAAAACAGAAACTCCAAGTGCAAAAAGTGAGATATTTGACCTCCCAATGGTGCTCATACAATACCATTATCTGATGGAAATTCCGATTTCCATGTCATGTAAAAATCAGGTACTATTGTAAATAAAGAACAGAAAAAGACCCACTTTAACCTTAAAGAACTCTGTGGTCAATACCTGCAAGAAACTGAAATAAAGTAAAACCCAACTAGCACAATGGCAGGAAACCAGATGATTTAGATGTTGGGATAAAAGTGAAATCCAAGACAGGACCCATAGCTACCTTGGTAGAAAACCTCTTGCATATAACCCTGAACAGTGAAAAATGAAAATCAGCATTCTAACTCCAGGTCAATCATAGAGAATCTACACTGAAATAGAAAATGTAATTATCACTGCATTGATATAATCAGTTGCTATTGTTGTATTGTTAAGTGCTGTCAAGTTGATTGAGATCCTGTATAGGGTTTCCAAGGAGCGACTGGTGGGTTTGAACCGCCAACCTTGTAGTTAGCAGTTCAATGCTGGCTGATCCTACAAGTGCCACACCAGGACTCCTGTTGCTACTGAGCCAAATTCAATTCATAGTGACCCTAGGTGTATTAGAGTACATCTATGCTTCATAGGGTTTTCATTGGCAGATATTTTGGAAGTAGATCACCAGGATTTTCTTTCAAAGTAACTCTAAGTGGCCTTGAACCTTCAACCAAACACTCTGACCATTGTATTACCCAAAAACCAAAACTAAACTCACTGCCATCAAGTCAATTCCAACTCAGAGCGGCCCTGGTTTTCAAAACCATAAATCTTTATCAGAGCAGACAGACTTGTTTTTCTCCTGTGGAGCTGCTGGTGGGTTTGAACTGCCAATCTTGTGCTGGCAGTCCAGTGCTTATCTTACAGTGGCTTTCCCAAGAGACTGGACCCAATAATATGCTATTTACCATGTAGTCCTGGTGTGGCGCTGTGCGTTAAGGTGTCAGACTGTAAAATCATTTGAACTGCAAGGTTGGCAATTCAAGCACACCAACAGCTCCTTGGAAACCCTATACAGGGTCGCTATGGGTTGAATCAACTCGATGGCCTTAACAACAACAACATGCAAATATGCAGAAACTCCAATGGGGTTGTGCTCTCAGAATGATCCATAGTAATGAAGAAGCACATTTGGTGGTAAAGTCATAAGCATACTTGAAAGCCTGTCCTTTTCTCAGGTTACCCCTAAATTTGTTATCTGGATTTTTGCCTTTAAGACAAAAAAAATTATTTAATTTTTTGCTGGATTTGATTCAAGTGTTGAACTGCAGATTAACCTTGTATCCAAATGCCCAAGGGTACTTTAATTACGCTTGCAAAATAAAATAGTTACCACATCATCCTAACACCTCTCTTACATTTTTTAACTCCATATCCTTGAGGGGATGAGACAACATTGCTCCAGATATTAAGAACTTACAAACAACATGCAATTATTGAAACTATCCTCTTTTTTGTTAATTATCTAGATACCAAAATACATACACACTTGGATATATCTTACCTAGATGTGGAAATATGCTGTTAATAGAAAAAAGTAAGAGAAAATGAATAACAAAGTAGTGATGCTACCTTTGAGCTACAGTATTACCAATTAAGTTCAATACGAACTTTGCCTTTTGTTCCGAACAGTGAACATCAAAATAAGCTGGCTACACCTCCACCTGTATTACCCTCACTCACAGTTCAGGTGCTCCTGGGGTGGCACCTTTAAGAAAGGAAAAGTACTCCACCTCTTGCTTGCTCTCACAAGCTCCCACTGTTTGGAATGAGAAGCACTGTTTGCCACCTTGGATGGTTTGCAGTTAGCTCTAGAGAAAGAACTTCAAGAGAAAACCTGATTGCTCTAAAGTGAGGACCCTGATGTTTCTGGGTCAGTTCAGTTAAACTCATAACATGAAAGGACAGAGGCCCCAAGCTTGCATGGGTGAAAGGAGCCACCCCAGGTCTGGTCAACCATGCCCCAAAAGCTGTTCCACAAAGGACTTTTCTCACAGGGACCTCAAACCACATTTTGATTCTCAAGGTACATAGCATTTGGGAAAGGACGGTGGGAACTAAATCAAATCAGCACAGCCCAGGCACACCCAAGGGCTGAACCACTTCAGAACAGATCAGTACTCTCCCTCCCTCTACCTCTTCCCCCTCCCTTGCCTCAAGCCCTACCCAGGCTCAGGGCAGGGCAGCTGCTCTATCATGGGTGGCAGCTGGGCTAGAGGGAGCCAACAGGACGCAGATGGCAAGGGAAAGAAGTGGGTGAGGGAGCAGAACCCAGCAGTTTCTCTTCTCCACACCCCCTTTTACTTTTGAAACAATCTCTGTACTACTACCCAATTGTTACTACTATGCCCTAGAATGTCTAGCTTCTGGTTCAACCTGAAACACTCTGGGGAAAGAGCCAGAAACTACTCCCAGATGGCAGCTGTTGGGAGGTTGAGAGCAGCTGCATAAGTTTGGCAGCCACTCAATTTACCCTGACAACAAACAAGGCTGCAATGAGCCACGCCACCCGGGGTGGATCCTGCGTGGAAGGCATCCCTTCCAAGTCTCGGCCGCCTCCACACGGCATCCACAGACAGTCCAGATTCTGCAGTGCAATCACTTCAACAATCTAAAGACAACTAGTCGTCCAAACCTGTCTCCTTCAGAGATGTCAGAGAGCAGCAGCAAATTCCACATTTAATGGCTGAATTGAAAAGATACCCAAATTCATGATAAAATTTTTCTCCTAACTACTCAACTTGGACTTCCTGGTGCCGAAGTTGCAAACCCTGTCCCAGCTTTGGGATTAACGAGCAAACCTTCTCTTTTTGGTGGTGGTAAATGTACAGGCAACAAAACAGCTGCCATTTCAACAACCTTCACATCTACAGTTCAGTGACATAAAATATGTTCATCACGTTATTAATCAACCATCATCATTTCTGAATGATTCCACCACCCTTAAGAAAACTTCACACCCCCGAGGCATTCTCGATTTCAATTTTTGCATTCATTAAGCCATTGAAAGTTTCTTTCTTTCTAGGGCTTCCCCCAGTAGTCTTTCCATGTTATTTTCTCTTCTAAAATGCAATCCTAGCTACCTTTCCCTTAGAATATCCCCTTCTGTCTGATTCCTTAATCCATGTCATGCCATCCACATCTGTCCTTCCCCAATGCACAGAGCCTTCTCCTGCTAACTCGTCATTCTGGCAGAAGGACCCCTGGGTGATGTGTGACAGAGAGTGGAGCCGCCTGGGAACTCCCACTGACTCCAGAGTCATTTACCAAATGCTGGAGTTTTCACAGCCAAATATGGTTTTCCTTAAGCTAATTATTACTCTAAATTGACCTCTCAATACAATTCTAATGGGTCACTCCTATACTTACAGTGGAAGTAGTGTTTGGAGGGATGAAAGACCTCATCTGTTACTAACAACACTCGGTATCTTTCAGATTTTGAAAATCCCAAGAAGTTATGATAGCTGTATTTGGAATAGAGAAAGTAATTGACCTCATATTTCCTATAGGAATCCATTAGGCAGGTGAAGAGTGACTCTAATCTCAACAACATTTTAATGGAATCCCGGGTGTCACCCAGACGGTTGGTTATGGGAGGCGAGGTTAATTATGCAGGGGGAGGTTAGTTAATGGGGGAAAAGGTACAGGGAATTTCTTGGATCACAATTCCTCCCTGTCCCCTTCTAGCAATTCAGAGTATGCTGGACCATCTTTGGTCACAAGCACTGAGCTATAGTCCATAAAATGACCAGCTTCTCAATAATTCAGACCTTAACATCAAACATGTTAAATAGCCCACTGCCATTGGGTCGATTCCAACTTATAGTAACTTTACAGGACAGAGCAGAAGTACTCCCTAGGGTTTCAGAGATTGTCATTTTTTTTTGACGCAGACTGCCTCATCTTTCTCCTGTGGAGAGAGGCTGGTGGGTTTGATCCGCTGACCTTGCAGTGAAAAGCCCTATGCTACACCCAGAGCACCACAGGGACTCCTTTAATTATATTTGTTGTTGTTGAGTGCCAACTCATATTGGCACCTTATAATCAATCATCTTCTCACCTTACCTACAGTCTTCCAAGGAAGAATGTTCTTGACACTAAAGCTATTCTGGATTCCTTACACTGCTGGACCACTCTGAGTATCAGTTTTGTCCTTATAAAGTGGTCGTAATCACTTCTCACAGGTGCTGAGAGACTCAAAATCAATAACTAGAGTGAGGAACACTTTATAAACATGAATGCTGTATCAACATGTATCACCTGTAACGCTAGGAGTGTACACTTCTTTACTAGTAGTTCTTTTTCTGGTCCTGAGGTTCATATTTATATTCAATATGGTTCTATATCTTTTCCCTAAAAAAACAGCCTTCTGCTTGTAACTTTTCTGCACTCATTACTTCTTCAAAACAGCAAATCCCCTTATTTTTCTGATTATCAAGCCAAGTGTTTTAATTTGACCTGTACTTGTTGTTTTTATCTCCCTCTGCTCCAGTGACATTCTACAAGAACCACAAACTCTTTTACCTAAAACTGTTCCATAAGGAGAAAGTCCCTTCTCCACCCTCATCCTCATCAAATTTTAAGAAGCACTGGGCATTCCTGGCAGTTTGACCATTCAGACACAATGAGACCATGAACAATGAACTTAATACCTGTTTCCACAATGGTACTTCTCAAGTCTGTTAAATGAGACGACCTGCCTCATGTCTCTATCAGAGACCTGTTTCTTGTGGACTATTGTTTC